AATAAACTGATCGAAAAACCCAAAGATCTAATCAAAATATGAAAATGAAAGAATTAAAAAGCTTAAAAAATTAATAAACAAATCATAAAATAATAAAGCAAAAAACTAAGAAATATTGACAGAAACCAATCATACGTGAAAAATTGATGTATTTCGTTTGAAAATTCTTTCTGCAGTTAATAAATTTGCATCAAAATTAAAGTAAACAAATCCATCCATCAGCAAGTTCACTATAAACAGTTGCAGATTGCACTAGTTATAAAGTGTGCTATAGAAAGTCAAATTATTCTTCGTTATTATTGCTTTTCATACTTTATATAAGAGCACGTATAAATATGATATTGTAGTATGAGTCATTCTAGAATGAATAATTATGACTTTAATATAGCAACAATTTGATAACAAAACAACTATTATCAGTCAGAATTACACATAATAATTTACCAAATACAGTAACTCTATAACTTTATAACCGATAACAACGATGATGTGAAGGATAAAAAAATTATATTGATAAAACAAATCAAATATGACTAATATAATTATTTTATTATGAAATAAAAACAACAAAAAGTCATCAAAATAGTTCAAATGAGTAAACTAATTTATTAACATTAATGGAGCGTATTATTAATATTATTATAACAAAACAATAATAATGATGCGAAAGGTAATTACCAAAGTTAATATTAATAAGACTAGAGCGCCTTAATGAACTTTCAGGTTTTTCAACAAAATAAATTTGAAAATCTTTCATTTTCCAGATAGCTTAATCTTGGTACCAAAAATGAAGAAATCAATCATTATTCAGATTTGGTTAGCAATGCAAATTTCTTTCAGTAAGCAGGACACTTTACGTCAGGTAACTTATTTTATGCCATTTTTATGCAAAAAATTAAATCATTTTTAGTTGTAGTCATTACAGCTAAAAATGATTTAAATTATAGTTATTGAAACACACTCCATCATTCCAGTAATTTACAATATGGACAGTTTTACTGCAAATTAAAAGTCAATATGTTTTCTAAACAGTAACTTAATTGGTGTATCTTTTGGTTTATTCCGACATCGGGTTTTTTCAATGAATTTGAGCGAATAATCTCTACCCATGAGTTCGTTATTACAAAAAATATCCAAATCATTGTATTGACTTATATCACCAAATAACGTCACAGCCAAATATCGTTTGATTGTATTTACAGTTGCCATTTCTATATAAATAGAAAATAAAATTTTTGCTTCATATTCATTTTTCATAACATAATTAGTTCCCCCAGAAACATCAAATGAATAATCTTAAGTTTTGAATGAAAAACCTACCGGAAAGTCTCAAATAAGGCATGTCAATGTCAGCAAATTTTGAAAGTTTATCTGTACATAATTCTACAGCAACTTGTTCATCACTTCTGTGATGTTTGCTCATTGGATCGCCAGAACATTCCCTCATTTCCAAACTGCTTTCATCCTTGAGTGCACAGAAATTGATAAGTTGTCGTTGTCAAAAGAGAAAAAATAATCATTCAGTTTCAAACATAACCAAAATTTCTACAAGAATCTTAAGAAAGCTTCTAGATTCTGTGATATTACAATCACCTTAAACTGAAAATTACCATATTTTCATCAAATTCCAACTTCAAAGATCCATTTTCACTCTGTTCTGTCTTCGTTGTTCGTAAAAAAGCGATATGACTTTCCTCCTCTCGTGTTTGCATACCCGGTACAAGTTTATATACCAATTCCTGCATAGTACGATCGAAACTTACATAATGGGATGGATGGCTCTACAAGAGAAATTCATAAAATATGAAAGACTCATAACGTACATGATTCAAATGTTATAACGGATTTATTTTCATTCTCTATTGCATACTGCATTTTATTCCATTTTGCAGGCAATCTTTAGTTCATCAATTATATGGCATACCTGATGAATAAGGTTGCTACATTTAGGGCAGCAATTATTAACATTCTCGAAATGTTTCAATAAACAAGATTTGCAAAAAGTATGCAAACAATCGGTGACAGTTGTGGCTTCCACAAAGTAACTACAAATAAACGAATGAATGTTCATGCTAAATTGAAAGCATTTAACAAACTGAAAAAAGGTAGAAAACGTCTTTGTGAACTTTTAATAAAGTACAACAGAAAGGAAACTAACCCTTTACATAACGGGCAGGTGATATGAGGATTAAGTGTTTTCAACAATACTTTATATTCGCCGTTGATTAAAGTCGGTTTCCGACTCATTTCTAATTATGCATACCACAAACTGTTATCTTCAGACAAAAACTTGGAACAAAACTTATCCTGGAATGCTACTAAATAGTAACAAACAAGTATACCTGTTCATATTAAAAACAATAACGTGAAAATGTCTCTTGCACTAATATGCAACCGAATGTAAAAACATTTCGAAAGTCTTAAAGCACGTTGACTTGAAATTAAACAAGTATTCTGTTGCATAATATTCATAGAGTTTTCCTGCTTCCATGTTAAAAAACTAACACAGAAAACAAAAGTAAGTCTGAAGAACTTCAAACTATGGTCAACAGGAGTAGTCATACTCATGATTGAAAAATGATTATATCATAGCTGATAAACACTGACTGTGCAATGCACACAACAATGCAATGCCAAAAATTTTTATTTCAAACACATGCATAAAACGAATAAAAGAAGAGGTAAACACAAGTGTTGTTGCAATAGAACACATACAATACCTTTTAGTTTATAATTCCACAACCATGACTTCGACTTCCTAATCCGAACAATATAAAAATTTACATTTCTTGTAAAATGGTTCCTACAAAACTTGCTTCTTCTCAAGAACGCAAAACTTGACACATGAATGATGAGTTAGAAAATATGCACTTTATTTTCCAAATATTTATAGATACATAAAACATAAAACACACAATTTCTTTACCGAAGCATTTCACCAGGTTTACTAGTTGAGTTCGGCGTCTTGGAAGGTGATAATTGTGGACTCATGTCTTCATTATTCGCAGATTGTTGCCCATTCACTCTGAATATGCACACTCAATCATCAACTAAATAGAAGCTTCGGCATATTCTAAATAGAGATGTGACAATTCAGAAATATGAAATATATCTTTCAATCATAGATGTGAGGGAGCACTTTGCCAGTGTGCAGGAACTAGCAAAATGATTACACTCGAAACAACCATCCAAGTTCCGAAGCTAGCCTAAGGAAATGCTGAAAGCTATTCTCGACCCTTTCAGGAACATTCCGAGAAGTGGATAGCTCTAGTGTCATTCTCTCTATTGCTAAAAATTTATGAGTGCGATCTGAATTAAAAAAACAAGTAATTCTGCTAGTATTGCTAGTCACCCATACTAGCAAAAGCGGTTTTTAGAGGAGACACCGAAGCGTATCGAGACATGACTTCAAGGAAAATTCGCTACATGAGTATAAGGTTTATCTAGGCGTAAAGCAAAAGTACCTTGTACTGATGCAAGAAGCCCAAGGACGTAAGACAGAGAGGACACGGAAATTCTGATATGCTTATATTTGGAGCGATAAACCACGCGCGAGTGAAAATGCCACACAGAATCTCGCCAAGTCAATGACTGATCTTGCAAGGCAGCTCGCTCAAGATGGCCATAAATGCTGTGAAGATATGACAAGATGGGAGAAGCCATCGGAGTGAGCATAGAAAAGAAAGTAAGCTTGCTTAACTTCTGAAAAGTACTCAAATAGTAGTATTTGGCCAGGGGAACAATTAGAGGTAAAAACCCATGGGAGGCAAAAAAGTATATGAATAGCATAAATCCCAGCCTTGATTTCAAACGTACTATCATGAGGCTGTATGTATGCTGACAAATCATGGAAGAGTTTATGAAAACTAAGTCAAAGTCTCTAAGTGCACTTAAATCCAAAACGCCAGATCTATATCTGGAAGAATTCTTTTCAGATTATGAAGTATAACATACTTTGAAGCCGAATTCAGGAAGATAATCTCATATTTGCCCAACTGGAAAGCGGGAGGGCTTGATGGAATCTATAACTTTTATATTAAGAATTGGACCCCCTGCATCCAGACCTGTACATAATAGTAAGAGAGATCTACCAGGATGAAAAGCAACAAAAGCTGCGGTTTTAAAAAGGTTTCTACCTGATATCTAAATACTTCCCAAATAAAGGCATCGACTTCAAGCCAATAACTTGTATGTCAATTTTTACAAGTAAACAAAATATGTAGCACGTTTCATGCAACTGGACTGTTACCTAGATTCAAGGTGTCAAAGAGTAGGCATTATTAAACCTGGTGGTTTGTAGAGAGTACGGACATTAAAAAAGCGCTCGATTCAGTTAATCACAAATACCTTATTAAGCGCATTGAAAGGCTTAATATGCCGGCACGGATCTTAGAAAATTTTCAAGAAACCTCCGGATGGTCAGTTGTATTAAAAATATACGGAGAAACTAAAAATGAGAAGAAAATACAGCGAGAAATCCTCCAAAGTTACAACCTTTCTCCGCTGTTATTCTCATGTGCACGGATCCGTGAGCTATAGGCTAAACATGAGATACTCAAAGTCGCGGTTTTACCGATCAAGGAATGCACATGATTATTTCTTAGTGATCTTAAGCTCCTTGCAATTAATGGGAATATCATGAAATATATGGCTAAGAAAATTCAGAGGTTTTTGAAATAACAGTGTTGGAGGTGAATCCAGCAAAGTCTGCCCCTAATATATATAAATATTTGAGTTAATGAAATGACGATTCTTAGACCCGAACAAACCAGCCAATTTTTATCATACCAATAATATTAGCAAGTATTATCATTTTTAGTCCAAACTTCCAAAATCAAAATAACAGACGATATAATAAATATGTTACTTGGCTTCTTTCTCATCTCGTTCACGCTGTTCGTGAGCAAGGTATGCCGTGTTGGACAAGAATGCCAATAATCCCTTGTGACAACGATTTGCGTAATGACCTTTTTCTCCACACTAAAAATATGAATAATTAAGGGAACATATCATGATAAGTCTAAATCACATGATAGTGTTTTTGATTGGATGAATGATGCGTATATAAGATAAAGATAAAAACTGTATCACTGAAATGAGAAATAATAATGAGCAAGTTAAATAGAAACAAGAAAATGTCAAATAAGACGATATTCCTTTAAAATTTAAAGTAAACGAAAGACAGACATCGTACAGGAATAGTACCAAATACTCTAGATATATAAATACAAAAGTGAATCATTTTGTCCAAAATGTTTTAACTTACCTTATAACACGTAACATCTGAAAGAGCTTTCTTTTCGGAAAGCGCAGCTAATTCCTGAGATAACTGAGTAGTCACCTTAGATGAGTCCAATAATGGTAACTGAGTTTGAGTGGGTAGATGAGGACAATATGTCGCCTGTAAGAAAGTATAGTTAAATCAAGCAAAATCAGTCATTGTAAAATGAAACCAGTCTTATCGATGCTGCCAGTCCGAGTTAGTTTGAGTTATTAAATCGAAGCTATCAGAATTTTTACAAGTTTATATTAAAAATTATTAAATAGTGCAATATATTTAACAACAATGCTGTACATAAGTAATCAAAATCACCTTGTGGCCTCTTTCATGGCAATTATGACAAACTATCCCAATATTATATTGCCCGCGTGCTCGTAAAATTTGGGTTGAATCTACAGGAGGAATATTGAAAGATGGGTGAGCATATTTGCATTCTTTACCCTCCGGACAAAAGCCTGCTAAGTATGCGGGACATAGGACGCGACGGCGATGCCGATGTTTGCAAAACGGACCTGAACATAAGGTATAAAGCTCAATTATATAATTTTTAAACTGCGTAATTTCAATTATTTAAAATATTTTTTAATCTAACATATTAAAATTATTTACCATGACGACAAAATCCACGATCGTACCATGGGCAGTCCTTTATCTTACTTTCAGGATCAATGTGTCGAAAAGGACATTCACGATTACTACAAGCCACTGGAAATAAATTGCGCTACTAATTTTTTATAACGCAATTCAAGTATATGAATTAAAAAATTCTCTTATTCAAAAAATCTCAATAATACTTTTATAAATTTTTTAAGCATGTAAAAAAATCAAAAAAAGAGCTTTTTTATTAATATTACTGCTTACTGTATTTGGAGAAGAAAAAGCATTCAGGCATTTTGCTTAAATCATACTCATGCAAAAATTCGCACTGATCTCCTTTTTTACATAAACCGCGCAACCAATGCTTACAAACAACAGCCTGAAATAGTGCTAAAGCTTGAGAGAAAGGAATAGAATTACCAGAGACCATTTATAAATAAAAGATACTAACAATAATCTGATTTACTGGCTATAAAAAGTTTACAAAAAAGAACAACTACTACATTTCAGTGTTAAAATAAAAAAATCAGGCAAAATATAAAAAAATTAAACGAAAAAGCAATATCTCAATGATAATAAAAAATGACATGCTTTATCGCCAATGATGTGCCTCAAAGGACAAACAGGTCCCATTGTGCATGTCCCTTGTTCGTTCCGAATGCATACACCGCGACCACTTTTATCCATTCCAGAAAAAGGAGCCTGAATCATAAATCTCCGAAATTAAAGATGAAAAATGCAACTTTAACGCTTATGATAATATCGTAGTGCTTTTTTTCCAATAAATAGCATAAAATATGCAATATTTTTTGCTGGACTGTGAAGGTCTTTTGGAAAAAAGATACCTGCAATAAGCATAAAAACACTAGAAAAAGAGTAACGAAGACCTATTTTTTCGTTTCTTTGATTATAACAAGAAATATTATGCTTCCAGAATTTTTCAAAGAATAAGGAACATAAAGAAAGAAACAAGTAGTAAAAAGAAATAACCTCCCTAGAACCACGTTGCTGCAATAACATTTCCTCAACATCAAGTAATGGACAGGATATTCCAGCCATATATTCTTCCATTGTAAGCGGAATACTGCCAAGAACGGAGTACTGGAAAGCTGCTGCCGCAGACACCATTTTTAACTTCGTCCGCTATTTATGCTAAAAATATATTTCAAGAACATTCAAAGTCACTACTACTTTTGCAATATTATCACGTTTACCTTTTTTTATAGTAAAAGTAGGAAATATTCATAAATCTCTTAAATATAAGTAATGAAGACCTACAGTAAATTTTATACTTTCTAAAATTATTTTAGAACTTATTTAAAAAGCAAAAAAAATCCAATTATCTCACAAATTCTACAAGTATATTCTTTAATGAATTTATTCTACTCAATAATATTCTTTTTTTGAATTCATATCACTCAACAACATGCTTTTCTGACCTTTTCAAAAATTTATTAAACATAAAAAAATTCATTATATATAAACGTTTGTATTTAAAAAACACCAATACATGACTTAAAATACTATTATGCGTGGATAGAAGACTTCTTAAATCTAAATACAAAACAAGAGGAAAGAACGATAAATCAAATCTTAATTACAACGAACAAATCTTATATACTTGCGACTTAGACTGGTCCGTAACAAAGTCGCGTTGTGAAATTTTGTTCCTTTAAATTTTTTTGCCTGAGTTGCTAAATAGTCCACCTCTTCACACGTTCCCCAGTATGTCGGCACGTACCATTTTCAGCTCCAAACATATTTCTGTCTTGGAGGTTACGGTATCATGCCTCATCTTGCAGGGTAATGTCCCCGTATCGCAGCCATTTCCATAAATCAACTATGGACGGGATTTTATTCGTCCGCATCTTCTATAGCTAGCTTTGCATGGTGGGTTTCCATTTCTATTTCGCTGTACAAGAACGCCTCCTGCGCTGCTAATACGTTCTCGACGGTTAGATTTCTTGTAAGATTATGTCTGGTCTGAAAGTAAGGTACAACAAAGATTAAAACAGCGCACCTTAATCTCAACGCTGTAAACAACTGCGCGATAGTAAACTCCCCCTACTCCACCTTTACATTGTAATATAATAATCAGTTCCAGGAATCAGCGAGAATACTTTTGCATTTCATTTCTGCAAAAGGTTTCATAAACTGTAACTTCTGTATGATAAACACAATTTCTATTTCTATCATGAACCAAATTACGTAGCACGATCAAATTGCAATTACAATGTATCAATTTTATCAATCGCGATCAATTTCATTACGCACATATACGTACATAATATTGTACATATTAATGAGCGAGATCGATGCATTAAAAACAACAGCTGAAAATGCTCACAACTTATCACAGATATAGCAGTAAAACGAAACCAAATCCCGCACAACTCTTCTTGTATAACAATCAGTGCTTTACGCAATTTTGCTTTGATAAAGCATTTACTGCTAGAACAGTTTTTGGAAATAAAAGTAATAGATTTACTTCAAAATAGTTCTTCGTCTTCACACTACTTTTATTCAAGTAAATGATATGTGGCAATTAATCTACAAACAACTTCTAGAAATGAAAAAGCACATAAACTGATAAGATTAAATGTAATACAAAAAGAATCTCATGTCAATAAAACTTCAGCAAAATAAAGTAACGCACTTCAGGCTGCAAATTTATCAGCAACATTGAAACATAACAAAATGAACAGAAATGGACAGAAGTGACCTTTTTGAATTTTACATGATCAAAAATTTACAGTAAGATTGGTTTTTAAAAAAGATAAGCTAATTTTTAACTGATTCTCATTAAAAGTAGCAAATTGCAAATAACGAATATCGTCTAAAATTCGTAATGATAAAAAAAATAAGATGCTCTATTTCCTTCAATCCAAGAACACTTCCATTAATGTTTTTGATTTAATTTTAGTCTTGAACCAATCTCCGTTTAGTTAAGAAATGTTCAACAAGTTCAACATTTTTGATAAACAGATCTCTTTTCACACCCTTTATCCAGTACAGTTTCATACTTTTCGTCCATGTACCCGGAAACGATATAAACAAGTATAGTCTGAATTCCAGTTGGATAGTACCACTAATTCAACTATGGATACCGGCTTGTTGAGCTCATACTTAAAAAAAAGATTTATGAGAAGTAACGCATGCCATTTGCTAGGGATTATTTTTTACTCACAAGCGGTGACGTTAAAACACTACAGTGATTCAGAGATGTAATTAGAAATAACACTTGCAAAAGTTTACTAAAGTTGAATAAAGTTCCATAGTTCATCCAATTAAGGAACTCTGATGTGGTATTAAAACAATGAACCTGTGTTCTGAAGGTTTGTAAAGCTCTTCCACTGATATCGTATTCGTATTCGCCAATCAAAAATTTTGATTTGAAATCATTAACTGTATCATATGTCTGAAAAGAACACTGTACACACTTTCATTACTTGCTTCGTATCACACTAAGTTTTCTTCCCATCAAATACCATCATTTTTTTTTTCTTATTAAGTTTAAATATGAAGTGAAATCAAGAACTTGATATAAGAAAAATTCGTAGAATCCTACGTATTGATCAAAAATGATTCAAATTTTACGACTCTGTCAAAACGCTAAAATAAACAGATATTAAAAACACAAACGCTATTAAATTAAAACTTACAAAGACTCGGAAAAATTTTGGTGCACTTCTTAAGACTCCTTCTGGGTGCAATGTTGCATGTAGATGTTCATAACTTACTTCTGTAATATAAATTGGATGTGATAACTGTATTGTTAGATATCCTTTGCCACGAAAAGCCCAGCATTCTCCAGCTGCTAATGGACGATACTAAAATTAAATAATGTAAATTATATAATAATGATACAAGTATAGTGAACTAAAAGAAATTCAAAAAAAAATACCTGAATAACAGCCCTTGGTGAATATGAGGAGTACCAAAGTGGAATACCAAAAATTGATTCTAATCGCGAATTTTCCTTATATGGTTCAGTACAACGTGTACTAATAACAGACGCCCCTAAACACATATTTCAAAATAAACTCAGCAGAAAGTCATACATCAAAAATATATGAAAGAGAAGTTTATTTATAAATTAAAATGAGAATAACAGCTTACCAGCACTTTCGAGTGCATAATCAACTTTTCCTGTTTTGTCAGCATCATATTTGTCTAGCGCGTCAGTTATCATCCTTTTTATTTCAACAAAGTCTGGCTCCGAAAGCTCCAGTTTAAAATTCTGAAGCTTGATAAGTAAGGTCCTTGTAAATTTGAAAACGAAAAATGGAAATCTACATCTTTAAGTGTACTCAATATCAAAATTTTTATAAACCAGTGATTCAATATTTAATTATTTTGAACTTTCCATAAGCCAGCAGATCTTGAATATTATTTTCAATTGCATTTCTGCATTTAAAATTTGAAGTAATTGGAAAATAAGTAATTTAGATTAACTGAACGAAAACTTACGAAAGTCTCATTTTTTTCTGCTAGACGACTAGCAAAGAGTGCAACGACTTGTTTCTCTACCATTTTTTTAATATCCAAACGAAATTCTTCATGTTCATGATGAGATGCTTCTTCAAAACGATTCAAACCAAATGAAAGTCCCTGAAGAAATTAGAAACTTTTCATAAAAATTAATTTAGCTATGAAACAATATCAGGTGCTTTAAAACTGTGAGCAAAACTTCGAAAAATAATCAACTTTTTCAAGATAGTCCTTCATTTTGTTGTTCAGTTCAAATTTCAATATCTCTAAATCATCGTTCCGCTTAGCTTCATGTGACATAAGTGCATGTGCCAATTCCGCAATTTTGGCGTCTTTTTCACGACGAAACTAAATTAAAGTCTAATCAGCTCAGGCTTTCAAATATTCTAATTTAACTGATATATTTAAAACATAAAATGATGAGATAAATATTATGCAGATTAATTTGGAGGAAATTTGGAGTTAATGAGAAAATAAAAATGTTAAGAATTCAGATTTGCAAAATACAATACTTCAGAAGGGAATCCATATTTTTATAAGGAATATATATCAATTTAAGCATCTAGTTCAACATGAATACATAATGAACGAACAATCAGGTAAATTCAAGCTTAAAACTTAATCACTTGAAGATTGAAAAAATACTTTCTCAAATTCGACACGGAGACTTGCGATCGCAGACGAATAATCAGATTCCTAAACAATTAGTGAATTTTAATCAATGAATCTATAGAAACGATAATGTATCCCACATAATTTTATGAAAGATATTGGTGACTTCAGAAAATCTCATCCAATATAGATCTACATTAGTAACCACAGTGAAGAATGATATGAAAGATAATAATTCTTAAATCTTACGCCAGACAATTGTAATTGGCCCACATTAGACAGCTGTGAAGCATTTATGGATTTCTGTGCAATTTCATCATGAATTTTTTGTGATAACGTACTTAGTCGTTCCGATAATTGTTTTTCAATAGCAAGAAAATGCTGGAATTATAATTCAGAAAGAGTTTTAAAAATTGTTAATCTGCTTGACTAATCACAATAGACAATTTTTTTCATATTAATATTCTCAATTTTCAGAGAACAAAACCATTATTTTTATTTTAATACAGATTGAAACTTTTATTAATCAAAGATCTACTCAATAGTTTATCGTCATTTAGAAGATACTTGAATGACAAGACGTACTTTCTTTATCTCTGCATTTTCAGTCTCTTTTATATCAGACAAATAATTCAGAAGCTTTTCCTCCAACTTACGCTGTAATGATTCATCATCAGCTGGCACCACACTTTGTGGCCTAAAAGTGTTACTAAACACAATATAATTTTGGATTCTAATTATTGTCACATTTTCTCGAAGTTTAATATAGACTGCATTCCATCATATACTAAGCTAATTTTCTGCTACTAAATGTTTCCTAACCTAACGACAACAAACAAATTAGAAACGCTTACTGCTTCTCTGCTGATGGTATACAAGTTTTTTTGGTAGACAATGATTTTGTATCCGGTATATTTTCTTCCAAATCATGTTCTCGATGAGGTACCACATGAATGTGAGATATCAAAAGCTCCTGTGATGCTATGTTGTAAAATTTTAGTGTTAAATTAAAAAATTTCAGATTTTGAAACGATAAATTATACAACTTTCATTTGCAATATTCTTTCATGAAATTCCTGAACTTTTCTGATAAATAAAAGGACATATTTGTGATGCAGAAAAAAACATTGAATACTAAAATCAACTCATATTAGTTCAAAAACTTGAGGCTGCTCTAGATGGGATGAATTAATGATTTCTTATCCCGACCTTTTGTAGCTGCATGCAACAGCAAAAACATGGATTATTTCGATCAAATCAAAATACCCTTAAAAATATCAATACCGTTTTTTGTAGCCCAAATGCTGCAAGTTCGGAGATTCTTGAAAAAAAGTAAGACGACCAAGTTAACGCAATTTGCTTAACAAAGCGTATCAACTTCCCTGCAGACAAAAAATGAAAAAAATTATGATAACTATTTGACGCTCAACCAATTAACAAGATTAAGTGCGAAAAAAAATCACTTCGAGAACAGTTTTTATCTTTTAATTACTTCAATACATATATTCCATATAATATCTTAGAATAAACAAAAAGGAATAGTTCACTCAACAAAGGTTGATTAAATACAGGTAACAGATATATTCTCTTAAAAATGTTTTAAACAAAACCGACATGAAAAATCTTAAAGTGATAGGATTTTTTTGATAAAATATCAAACAGAAAGAATCATCACAAAATCAAATCTGTCATAAAAGAAAGAGAAACCGAAGATAATGATGAAAAAGTCGCTATGAGAATTTTTCTTCACAGTTCACAATTGTATCAAAAACAAATTGCAAGTTTTTCTTCAGTCAATACATATTTGTCTCTCAAAAATATAAAAATATATATAGTACAATAAAATTACTTACTCAAACTTCGTTCGGAAATTGCATATATCTTCTGCATGATACCATATACACTACAGCGCAAAATATCAAAATTTTTTAGCAACTGTGCCACAGCATTCATCCCTACAAAAATCAACAAAAAGTCGACGATGAATTTAAAATTCTAATAATTTTAAACTAAGAAAAAATTTGAAATAACATTTAAAAAATATTTCAAACGAAACACGTACCGAAGGAGTACACTGTTTTCCATATTTTATCGAAAAAATTACTACAGGTTTCATAAAGAGATTTCTTAACTTCTGGCTGATCTGAAAAATCATTTTTACATCAAATCAAATAAAAATATCTGAAAAAATATACATTTAAAAAATTATAAGTGATTAGAACTACGAGCTAAAATATTACATAATGATGACAGAACAAACTTCATATCACAGACTTAATGTGTAATTTTGTGTCAATTATAATATTTTTTTTCATGCTTTTTTGAAAAAAATTTTGTTTGAGACATGCATAAAACTAAACACGCATATTTCAAACACAATTTTACTAGCAAATCGTAAATAATTTAAAAGTATAAAAAATATATGTGCATGAAAAAATACTTTACATTTTCATTTAAATTTCGCAAGCACTTAAAAACTTCAAAATTTTTTACCATTGTAGTAATTTGCTCGAATCTTATTGAATAACTTTGTGACACTTATTTCCTTTGAGTCCCCTTCATTACTAAGTCCTGAAATAGTTCGAATCACTAAATATGAAATACTAAAATTTTCTCAATATATATTCCCTTATAAAATTTTTCTGAAACTTTCAAAAACTGAATCCAATTCAAAAGCTGTTTGATCATAATTACTGATAATTATTTTAATTTGCAATATTAATACAACTTACCATTCCGAAATAAAAAGAACAGTAACAGCAAAAATAGCAAAGGGAACAACCATTTCCAAAATGCAGAAGAGTATTTTAAAGATCGTGAAGTAGGGAAAAGCCGGCTGCAAACTGTGAACTTGAGGCTAATGCAAAAAGCTTCACAACAAAAATGATGTATTACATCGGTAAATAACAGTGAATTAATTCAAAAATTTTTTAAAAGAAATCAAAAATAGATAATACTTCTGACTATAAGTTGCTGTTCGTCCATCAACATCAACAGGAGAACTGCCAGCAGATGTCAACACTTTTTTAGTTACTGATCTTACTTCTTCATAACCAACCAAAAGTGCTGCTTTCGGCATAAATCTTAACGAAATATAATTTAAAGTTGCTAATATTTCATGAAAAAATTTAAAAGCTTTCCTGGCAAAGTTTATATTAAGCACATTTTCTAGACAATGATTACCAATCCCCATTACAACACTACTATGACTTCAATATTTTGATTTCATTTCAGTTTTCAGGTCTCATGCTCTCAAGTATAGGTCTGTATAATTATGAAAGTCAAATAACTAATAACATACATCGGAACCGAATAAGGACAATCTATTTATTTGCTTGTTTCTAATACCAGTTATAAAAATAACTTTATTTCTTAATTCAAAGTTTGAAAATAATTCTTTATATTTTTTGGATCTCGCTTGATTTCTACTTTATAAAAATACGATTTTGGTCACATGCTAAGTTATTTTAAATCTAGTCGAACTAGATACTTACATTTTGGCTAACGCATAGGCTATGTATTCTCGAACACTTTCAGCAACATAAAATGGTAGCGACTGCAAGAACATAACAAACCAGATAAAACTGGTTATAATCATCCACAAAAAATTTTTCGCATAACGATAGTAATCGCAAGGTGTTGGTATCTCGGTACTTTGTTTGCAACTAAAAAATTAAAACTTGCACTTCTGAAATACTAAATCATGATTCATTCTTTGTAAACTTTCAGTATAAGCACCGAAATATTTAAAACATATTCGGAGTGATAGTTCAATTAATCATATATTTCTTTGACAAGAATAAACAGTAAAGTCTTCAAAACGCCTTACCAAACGTGCCACGAGAGAGTAAATAATGATATCTAGATAAAGCAAAATTCACAAAGAATAAAAACTTACAGCTGCAGTCCACTCAAACGAAGTAGAAAACCAGTAAAGTATGAGAATATAGTTATAGGCAAGAAGAGTACTTTCACTATTAAAGAAAAAGCAGTGATTACAGATGAAGTGATGATTTCAGAAAGAAAAATTGCAAGATGATCAGTATAAGAGACAGCCTCATTTGATGAATTCTTATAGACAATACGACT